TTGTTACGGATGGAATGCCGTATATTTCGATGGCACGGGTCAAATATGGTCAGTGACAATTATTGGAAGTTACAGACGGTTACGCACCCAACGGTTTATAATATCAACATAGTTTACATTATGAGATTTGCTTTTGAGGTCTGCGCGCTGATTAACCTGAAGATGGGTTGTTTCCTATCATCTTGGTACCCCTACTCTCTCTAGTTTGGTCTAGAACCAACCATGGTTAGAACAGGAAAATAATGGTTTGCTAGAGATGGTCAGGAATGGTTAGAGAATGTAAATAATCGTTTGTTAGAGTTGGTTCGAAATGTAAAAATAATGCGAATACAGGCAAAGCAAAGATAATGGCATTGTCCCATATCCATCTTAAGATATGATTTAAGGTTTTATTTAAGTTTCTAAAATATTATCTGGTCCGGCAAACCACGCTGTAACCTTTGCGTTATTTTGAACTCAATGTTGAATTTTGATATTTCACGGTTCACCTGGAATTTTGAAAATTTGAAATTATTTATTTACTCTTAAACGACAGTCCTTGCGTTTTATAAATTTTTTGCAATAGTGCAAGCAGACAAAGCAATGTTGATTTTAAAAATATTTAATTGTCAATTTACTATTTTGAACATAGAAAATAACCTTTTTTAGCTTCTACAAACCAACTAACTGGTTGTAAAGTCTCACTGTATTAAGAGTTGAACCCTTGTGTTATTCCAACAGCCCTTTCAATTTTTTATATGTATTTCACGGCCCACTGTGTTTTTAAACTTTTAAAATGGCTAATTTTGCCTACAGATTGTTTGGTTGGCTAGTCCTCGCTGTTTACCAAGGCTCAAATCTTTGCAATAGACAAACATTTTTTATTTTCTAAATATTTTATTATCTGTAATTTTATACATTTAAAACCTGTGTTTTGTTTCGGCTTCTGATTTCTATAAAACTATTTTCTGGTCCGTCATGCCTCGTAATTTAACCCTTTCTTGCCCAACGTTGCCTCAGGGCAACAACAAATTTAGCAAATTTGCTAAAGCTTAGCTAATCCCTTGTGTAGTGGTTCTATTATGTATTTTGGCAACACTGATTTTTTTGCCGCCAATCGAAAATCTTCATTTTGGAACCTTCTATCTCTAACCACTGCATCTTGTATCGATTGCTATATTAGCCAAACTTAACATTTTGCATATACAGATTATAATTTAAACATTTATTGCCTAAAGTTGCTACAGAGCAATGTCAACTTTAGGGTTTAAGGTTAACAGGAAATCCCGTGGGCTTAGGGCAGGCGCAATGTCCTGCTCTGTTTCTGTCCATGCTATGTCACCACTGATCTACTTGGAGCCAATGTAAACTCACAGCATTTCCCACTAATCGTTAAAGAAAATTCGTCTTGCTCTAAGGCAACGTTAGGCCAAAAAGGATTAATAAGCGTCAAACCCTTCACCCCCTTTCATTTTTCCCTTTCTAAAATTCGAAAATAGTAGCAACGAAATGGATTGATCATCTGAAAAGAGTTTTGGGTCTTTCTGTCTTGGGTCTTCAAGTTTCTGAAAGGTCTGGGCCAGTATGCTCATTGCTTTAAAGGATTCTCTCTTTTCTAATCAAGTGTCCTTTACAGAAATTTCTGGGGCGAGCTAGGCTCCTATTTATTTAAATGAAAATAAAGTTTAAAGTTTTACCGTTTTACTTTGTACTGAGTAAAGATAGTAATGTACAATTTTAACGGATAAATTTAACCATTTGCTTCGTTTGTTGTTGTTTTTATTGTTCACCTCGGCCCGGAATTACTAACAGTCGAATTCCCCGTGTATCCTTGAGGCCGGGACCGATGTGCCGTGGGGGTTGGAAAATTTATTCATCTTGATTGGATTATATCACCCATCAATTATTTTTTAATGGGAAGCCGTAAACTCCCATTAATTATACGGGGGCTGCCCTTTTAAATCTCAAGAGGAAATATCTCTTCCAGGATCCGTACTCCCATCAGGCGGGCAATTACAGAGGTACGCCCACGCGGAAACGGGGAGCGCGTCCCGCGAAGTCCGAGACTTCACCGGATTACGCAAGGCGAAGAAAAAAGACAAAGGGCACCGGACGGGCTTGAAACGTCCTCAAGTTGGTCGGATTAGGATACCCTTAAACCACCCTCTTTCAAGCTTAAAACATAAAAATCTTACAAATCGACCATTTTGTTTTGCTTTTTTTAAGATTATTTTATTAGGCAGACGACATAGACGACATATCTTCTAGACCTCCTCGAATTCTGTTGAATCCAGATAGTCGATAAACTCGTACGGCGACTCATTGATGAAGGTGACGATGTACACGACTGCTTTGAGCTTCCTCCTCGCGAACGGTATGATGAACTGGAGGAAATGGGCCACCTCGATGAGCAACTCCATCGTTGCTGAGGGTGTTGAGCAAGGCTCAACGGACCCTTTTGCCCTGTCGGACTGCCATTCTTGCAAATCCTTTAAAACAAAAACGAAAAACTTGCATATGTTTCTTTCTTATTTCATATGTGATTTTAAAACTTTTTTTCTTAAAAAGATTTTTCATTCTAATAGAAGAATCTGAATCTATGATAATTAGTGAAAGACTGAGAGATCAGGAATGATTTCTATCTTTATTAGGGGGATCGTTATTTTTACCAATTGAGAGTTGACTGTCCAGAGACCACCATCCCTAACCACGTTTTTGATCCTAACTGCTTTCGAAGGTTTGAACCTTTATGAAAAGCGTGGCTTGACGGGCCTAACCTGGGGCAAAACAAGCAATTCCCAAATATTCATAATTACAAAAACACTAGCAAGTAACAAATAGCTAAAAATAGTATTAAATAGTGAGGATAGACATACAAAATACATGTATAATAGCAAACAAGAATTTCAGAATTTCAAATTAACAGATGAACCGGGAAATATCAAAATTCAAAATTGCTTCTAAAATAACGCAAGGTTAGTGGGTTTGTAGAAGCAAAAACAGGTTATTTTGAAATGTTCAAAATAGAAAACTTACAATTAAATATTTTAAAAATCAACATTGCTTTGTCTGCTTGTGACCATTGCAAAATATGATGATGTCTCTTGTTAAACAGCAAGATTTGACTTACCAGCATTCAACGTTTTTGAGCAGTTCTTTTTTAAAATAATGAAAGGAACAAAAATAAGTACAAACTTAAGAAAAAGCATAATACCAGCATTGCGTTCTGAATATCTCAAGTTACTCTTAATATTCAGAGAGACTTCAGATACTATGGGTAAAACACGTGTTTCAAATGGACTTCACGAACCTTGAAGAATACAATCGTTATGACACTCGGGTTCTCGGGATGGGAAAGTGGGGAAGAAAGTGATTGGACAGTAGGGTTAGGATGGATCTAGAGCGTGGTGTGAAACCTTCGGAAGCGGGACCGGATCAGTTCGTTGACGAACGGAATGTTGAGGCACTAATTGTGGAAAGTGAAGTAACTTCTTTTTACATCTTACTTACTTTATCCCTGGCTCCATATTTTTGGGGGCTCGCAACACAAGTGTGAATTTGAGCCCCCGGTGTGCCCGGTGTTCTTCCATCGAAGAAACCCATTTTTGAAGGGGGTTGAACCAAATTCAGGGTCGCTGAGATCTGATCCCGCTCCCTCCATTGATGAGTGCCGTGTCAATTTCTTTCAATTGCGGCCACCGGTCCCCTTAGTCGTCAGAAAAAGTCCAGAGGCGACGGTGGGGATCGAACCCACGACCGCGGGATCTGCTAGCCGAGAGTCTGACGCCTTAACCACACGGCTACCGCGGCCCCGAAGTTAGTGACATAGTATGAACGTTGGCAATTTGTCTGAGGACTTTTGTTTGGAAGGATTGGTTGCGATGGAGTTTGTATAGCAGTAATTAGAGTTACAGACAACTCATCAGAGATAGTGTTTGATGACCAAAACTGATTTCGGTCGTAAAAGTCGTGGTTGTTCAAGTAATCTGTTAACTTGTTGGCTCGTATGTCTTGTATGGGGATTCCACGTCAATAGGCTGTTTTGGTATAGTTTTAAATTGTTACCTAGGTATATACTGTTTGGATAGGATTGGGAGAAGATAGAATTGTGGTAACATCCGTGGTAATGATGGTATTGGGATGAATAGGATAGTTAGCAGTATAAATGGCAAAAAAGGATGAAACAAAGATTGCTCCCTTGTGGAACGCCTTTGCGCCCTTGTCGGCCTTTATCTGTCATCTATGTACTCGTTGAGCCTGAAAAACATCCCCCCTTTTTGGTTTAGTGCTGTCTGAGAGCAGGACGAACTTTAGCAATTTTGTAAAAGGTTAGGGGGAAATCACGTGTGAAGAGATATTTTTGGTTGACGCCAAATAAATCAGTGTTGCCAATACACGAGCATAAACGGAGCAGGAACAACACTCACGAGATTTTCTGCTAACCTTAAACAAAATTGTTTGCTTTGGCATTGTTCTGAAGCTACATTGGGCAAGAAAGGATTAAATTATAAACTAAATATGAAAAATTTTATGTTTGGCAAATTTAACAATCGATATAAGACCCAGTGGTCGGGTGAAGAGCCGTGTGGTTGAAGATTTTAAAATAGAGATTTTAGACTTCCACCAAATAAATCAGTGTTGCCTATGCTTGGGCAGAAATAATGATGGAAAATTAGTGCACCCACCCTCTACTCACGGGATTAGCTGTCATTTATCAAATTGGGGTTGCCCTGAGGATTGACCCCCCTCTCCCAGAAAGAATAATTAATCCTTAATAAGCGAGGATTGACGTACCATAGGGTAGATTGCAAAAATACAAATATTCAAGCGTACCTTCATTAGCATTTCTCTATCAAATATATTCGAACTCGATAAGTCTCATGAAATATAAAGACAGCATCATGCTTTCAGAATAACACGAGTGTTTCACTCTCGAGGCCAGAGTGGAATGTCGTTTCTTTATATAGCTGGGTGATTGATGATAAGGGTCATGTATAAACACAATAAAAAAATTAAAGAACTTTCGCTTTATACATAATTTATTAGAACTTCGTTATGATCTATACATATTTCTTTAACAAATACACAGTACGTGGTTATAATTATTTATTATATTAAAAAAATACGTTCGGTTATGTTATATGTACAAAAATAGACTTAATACTGTGTAGGTTTCACCGGTGATTTGTTAAAATTCGACAACCGGCGCTGTACAGATTTAAATACAAAATAATAAATTTATTTTAAAAATATATTTTATAATTAATTTACAATAAATCAACCTTATTAAAGTATCCTCCGTGTTGATTGGCACTTGTAGATCAAAATTATTTGTATTGCTTGACAAAAGTAGGCTTTTTAATCAATTGGCCTTTGTTTTTTATGATTGTTTTAAAAATTTCACGTTCAAAAGTAGATTTCAAAGTTTCTTTTCCCCCGCAAATTCGGTGAAAAGCCTTCCTACGCGTGTCGTCCACGACCAACGCTCTCTGTCACTTTCACGGCCGAAAAAAGCGAGATAAAGCGGACCAAGCCGTTTCCGAAACCGGCTCGCTTCAGATAAATTTTTCAAATCTGAGAAATCGATCAACATACACTTTTACCATTTTGACTAGATCCACATTTATATTTTACAATTATTAATTATATATAAATTAAAGCCCAATATATGTATTTTTAAATTTAGATGGACATTTTTCTATAAAGTCAGAGAGCGTTTATAACCAATATATTATTTTTTAAAAGCACATTGATTGAAAATTTCATTCCTTATTGAAAGAAATTAAAAAATAGAAACAACTAGAGAAAATAAATAGTTTGCCCGTGACGATTAACCACACCAGGGTGACATAATCGATCTCCAGCTGTATTAAGTGATTTAAAATAATGCAGTTAATTTTCTACAATAAATTATGTAATTTTTAATCTAAATTGTTTATAAAGCAGTAAATCCGTGATCATATGAATTAACAAAAATTATCAACTGTTCTGACATTTTATTCTGTTGAAAGCAAAGATTTTTTTTGCAAACGTGCATTAATTGTTTGTTATATATGTTGTATATACTATTATGTCATCGTAGTGGATAACAAAAAATAATTAAATAAATGTGTTTAATGGAATAGGTCGCAACTCGGTTTTGAGGCTCGGGTCGGAGGGTCCGCACGGCGCGATCACCTCTCGGCTGACTTCCCGTGGAGACTAGAATGGGGCTACTTGTATCCTCCTTGGCCGCAGGAACAGGCGCACTCCGTCACCACCGGGTATTGGACTTTGATCCACGTGCAAGACTTACGGCAGTGCCAGCGCAGTAGGTACTTATGCGCGGTCCGGCTCGGCTTGCACTTCATCCCCGCGGGTACGGAACAGCTGTTGGCCGGGCAGTGGCCTTCCTTCAACCACCTACAACAGTCGACGTGTAAAACGGCGAAAACGGCGGGACTGGACTGAACGGGTTACCTGGGCCAGAATCTGGGTCCTAAGTCCCTCCACCTGTTCGAAACGGGACAGGCGGTCAACGCCCATAACAGCTGCCGCAGCTTCCTCCGCAGCTTGTTCGGCACCCTGGTCTTGAGCTTGGTGCCATCGCTCAGCCGGACGAAGCCCAACTCGACGTCTTTGACGTGCTTTGGCATCGGCCCCGTCGGCACCAGCCGCCCTTTCCGGTTCCTCCTGGAAAATCGCATTCAACCTCGGTTCGCACTGTATCTTCAAGTGGGACCCACCTACCTGAACGGGAAATGCGGGGCGGCGAAGTCCGTGTTGCTCGGCTTGGCCACCGACGAGTATTCGAGGTCCAGGGCCGGACCGAGGATAGCCGCCAGGACGGTGACGTTCAAGTCTCTGGGCCTCGGCTCCGTCGAAGGGTCGATCGGCTCGATCAGGTCAGGGGCGATCCCCGAATACGAAGGGCGCAGACCACGCGATTCGGGGGAAACGCAGTAGCTCCAGGTGATGACGCAGCTGAAAACCAGCAATCCCTCGATCTAGAAACACAAAACAACCATCATCAAATGATACGGAAGACACTCCTCACGCACGACTTTTATAAGAGGATTTTGTCAACGATCAAATTCAGCCAAAATTAACTTTCACAATCCTAAAAGAGATGCCGATGGAATTTTGTATCTTCGATCTTAGGTAGTCGGGTTTGAAGGATTTTGTACACCTATCGCTAGAGACGGACGTCGATGTCAGGATGTCGACCATACCGCCCGGATGAGACGATCCCCGTAGCGATTTTCATCAAGAATCATTATCGGCCCGGCGAGAAAAACAAACACGGCCAGAAGGTGTTTATGACGGCGATAAAAACGGAAAGGTGTTATATACAGGGTGTCGATCCCGTGGCTCGATAAGCGGAGGCGCCTAAAATTCCCCGGCATGGCCATTGTGAGGTCTCCGCCGGTTTCATTCCTCATCGAGTCGGTGCCCATTGTCCCGGACCCAAGACAGACGGGAACATGTGTCAGTGTCACCGTTAACAGCTTAGACCCGGTGGAGGGAGCTTTCTTTTCACCGGCCTCCACCGCCCTAATGAGCCGACTCAACACTCAACACGGGAAACAATTTTTTATGCAGATCCACATTACTGAGAGCCAAATTTTGAATTCAAATAGTTTCTTTTAACACAAAAACACGATCCGGATGAGGATTCCATGGCAAAAGACTCAACTAAGATCAAATGGACATTCAGAATTCCTTAAGAACCGTACATTCCAAGCCCTTTACAGACTAAACACAGAACATTTTTATTCCACGGGCTTAAATACATACCCTTTACAGATGTTCAGTTAATCTAACTTTACTCTACAAACCGAACAATTAAAAAAAATATATGTACCAGTTTGGTCATCAGTGTTTCGCTGAGAACGGCTAAAACGCCTTTTCCACAGGAGAAAAAAAGACTAGCTTTTACGAGAGGGAGATGTCGAATAAAAAAAAGTTAGGGTAGGTTGTTTAGGTAGCTTGTAACGTCTGATAAGGTAGATAACTTTAACAAAGTGGACATAATAGTTTACAAGTTGAACCAAGATTTATACCTGGTTCGGCTTGGACGATCTGACTCGCTGAATAAAACCAAGAAGGAAATAAGTCGTATTTAACAATACTTAATTATCAATAAACTATTTAACAATTATTTAAATGATTGATATTCTAAAATAGACATGTAATTTCCTAGGAATTAGGATGTATTCGTCTAGTTTAAATTGGCCAAAGAGTAAATTAGTTAACGTCCTGCACTCTTTTTACCAAATTTTAAAATTATCAATTTATATAAAGAAACAATTGGACCTTTTCCGTTAATGCGCCTCCGCCCCACTCGACCGCTAACATCTCTGGTCACATAAGGAAATGCTCCTTTAAAGAAAATCATAAATACTGAAACATTTTATTTTAGAAAATTCATGTAATAGTAATTAAGAGGATAGATTGGTAATAAAGGAAATCACATTTCAGTCCCTGGGGGCCAAAATTTAACTATTTCAATAAGGAGTCTTCGAAAACATTCACATTTCTTGCCGTACATGACTGCCGCCACATAAATTCGCATAGATAGGAGTCCAATAAACTTCGGCGTGTCGACAAAATCGAGAGTGTGGTTCACTGTCATAAGGCAGAAACTAGGATCCTTGGATAATGTTTCATATGCCTTCCACTGATCGGACATGATCACAGACCCAGCAGCGATCCGATCACGAATTATGGGGATGAGAGTGGCGGCTGATCTGTCCGTAATGGTGATTAGAAAACTTTCTCTCGTTTCGCAGCTAATGCCACCAAAAACCCAGTGCTGTGGTAAGTCTGCCGGTGTTGGTTTTCCGGCGCGAAAACTGCGATTCATCAATTTCCACAGCACAATTGGGGGCCACCAGTGCTCGAATGTCTGCGCAAAAAGAGTTCGAACAGACTTCGTGCATGCAGTTGCACCAATCAACGAACGTGTTATGATTTACACTTGACGCTCTTTCACAAAATTTAACGCTTACCATTTCGTATGCCCAAGCGTATATGAACTTGATTTGAACGCATTGATGGTCGAATATGGCAGTCTTGAGCCAGTTAGGCATGAATTACTTCTTAACGGCATTTCCGCCTTGCATCTACGTTTGTAGCACCTCCACTTGTCACGAGATCCTGTCAAATGCAGCCTCGCGTCGTGTCCTCCTGTACATCACACAGCTAGTGGAAGAACTCCCTTTCCTGAAGGAAACGAACTGCCTTTTCCTTGGTTTTGACAGCGTTGTATAGTGGGAGAAAGTGCATTTTTATTTAACGCCGAACTATACACATTGACTCTAAACATGATAAGAAATATAGGATATATAGAGACCTGACCCGTGGAGAGGAGGCACATTAACGGAAAAAGTCCGAAACATTTAATTATTGTTCTATTAACCCTTTATGGCCTAATGTTGTCTGAGAGCAGGACGAACTTTAGCAATTTTGTTAAAGGTTAAGGGGAAATAAAAAAACTCTCCCTGTGGGAAATAAATTAGCAAAAAGAAAACCCTTCCTGGGGATGTGCATGCGATGCCATCCGTGCGAGCCCTGTAGTAGAAAATTCACGGTATACAAAATTGGAGGAAAAACGCCGCACCCGCCCTAAACTCATGGGATTAGCAAATTTGCTAAATTTGTTGTTGCACTGAGGCGAACGTTGGGCAAGAAAGGGTTAAAACTCCTGTAAATTACAAATTAATGTAAAGAAACATAGTAGCAATTGACTTACCAGTCAATGGGCTAAGTCTTAATCTGGTCGATACTAATTTTGGTCTGCTTATTTTCGATGATTTTGCCCGTTAGACGCGCTTAATAAGGTGGCCTCTTGATAATTCGAAGCACAAGGGACTATAAAAATAATCCGAATTATCGAGAGGAAAGAAAAAAAAATTAAGGGTTGGTGTGCATTTTTAAAAGTTTTTACACGGTATATTTGTAATTTGGTACCTAGTTCTGTAAAAAAAAACACTTAACAGTTTAAGAGCCTTTGCATTTTCAGTATGTATGTCAATTGGTAGTTTAATGATAACTTTATATAACGAAATTTATTAATCTATGGCATCAAAATTAAGAAGTGTAAGCCCCTTTATTAGATGTGTATGATAATTCAATCAAAACCTGCATGAAAATAAATAAAAAGTCCGGTTTTGGTTAAAATAAGTTTTTATTTCAACAGTATTATACGCTTGGGAACTTATGTAGGAAAGATTCCTCCGCATTTCCCTCAAAAACCTTTCCATCCTTTTGAAATTACCTCCACCATACATCGAAACCGTCCTCAGATGACCACTTTGACCACAATATGCTATGCCATCCTAGGTACCACTCAATTTCCTCCCTTGTGAAACCATTCCGTAGTCATTCTCATTCCTAAATCCAGAGATCAGCCTTCTCCCTGTAATGTCCAAATTCCCCGAAAAACTTCTTTTAAAACTTAGAACATTTATGTACATTTATTTATGTACATTTTATTCCTTCACACCAATTCGCCTTCCGTCCCCATCATTCTACGATCTAGCTTGGTTCTAGTCACTTGACACCATTTCCTCCACTATAGAGTACAACCCACTAGGAAATGTTCCTGGATTTGGCCCAACGTTGGGAAATAAAGGGTTAAAAAACAAGTCTTTGTTTCAAACAACTTGATTGTTTGACATAAATGTAAATTTCGTTTTATAGTTTTTGTATCATTTTGGTCTGCCTATCCTGGCGGTCTATCTTCAGTGGTGGCATGATGATGGTCATCTGACGTTCCAAAACTGCGAGGATAAGCAAATCAAAATCAAGTTCATCAACCGGCGGACTCCAAGAGGAAATATAATAAATGTAAATGTTTTTTTTGACAGTGTCGAACAAGTTTGACCCTGGTTTCGTAGAATTTTGAACAGCTCTTTAATATAATACTCTCTTGTCAGTTTGGATTTACGTTTTTCCTCACCGCACGTTAATCGTGTCTCTCGGTCTCCGGGTGATGATCGTACGTGGAAAAAAACGAGGCGCCGGCGCCTCATAGGGACGAAAAAACGGTGCTGCCGTCCGTGATACAGTCTGAACACAGATCCTTTTCAGCTGGTTCTCCGAAAGAAGGCTGGGGGTGCCTGGATACCGTTCTCGATGGGACGCTGATGAGGCGCCGATGGCATTCTCTGAAATCGTCGGGTTTTGTTTCCAGTTATTCACGGCGGAAGAAACGCCGTTCTTCACATGAAGACGTGAGACTTGATTGTAGACGTCAGGTCAAATCGGTGGGCGCATTTCAACCCAAAAGTCAAATTAGGTATAAAGATTTTACAAATCCTGCAAACCGAGTTGTTGAACGATCTACCCTTCTGTAATCCAGGAATATAATTAGAAATTACGCTACCGGCTCTGAAATGTAACAAGGAACGTGACCCGACTCGAAAAACGCGTGATGATGTCGATTAACTAACTTTATAAACTTGGCAACATAAAAGGGAATATCTCATTAGAATAGAAGTAGAGTAAAACAAAAACGAACAAAAAAGGCAAAAAACATTCTTAGACCTTGATAAGTCCTGTTTGCAAATTAAGACGTGATCTCATGGAAAGGATGAAGACAAATAATTAATCCTTATCCCCTCGGATTGAAGCATTGGAATTTTTAAATTTAATTAACAGAAAAAGTTAATCTTTCATCAATTTTAGTCAAGTAAAGCCTATTAAAAAATGTATAGCTAAATTTTCAAGATTTTAAATAACTCTCAGTCTAATGAAAAACTGTTATTGTTGTCCATCTGGTTTCTAATATTCTACTTAATCCAAAATTCCTTTTGATTTGGCCAGTTATGTTTATTCGATACAAAATTTAATAAATGTTTTAAAGGTTTTTCTACTTTCTTTAAGGGGGCGTCGATGGTCGCAACGGTTTAGGCGACTCGACGCTCATCAGTGTGAGGTAAAGGTCCTGGGTTCGAATCCAACGGCCCTGCATCTGAATCCAACATAGTTACAAATGGGCTTT